AGTCTCCCACAAGAACAAGTGGCAGCGATTGCGAGATTTCTGCCAGCTGCTTAGAGAATGGCTCATCTGCTTCCTCCTGCTGGGAGGGTGGCCTACAACACACTCCCAGCAGGATGTCAGCCTTGTTAGCTCTTCCCCTCATTCTTACCCATAAGCATTCAAACTTATCATCACAGTCCTCGATTTCTATACAATCAAAACACTCCCTAACATATAGAGCCACTCCACCTCCTCTCCTTCCTTGCCTATCCCTTCTGAAGACCTTAGAGCCATCCATTGCAGCACTCCAGCTATGAGACTCATCCCACCATGTTTCTGTGATGGCCACTATGTCATATCTGTTCTGTTGTACCATGGCCTCCAGCTCCTCTTGCTTGTTGCTCATACTGCGTGCATTAGCGTAGATGCACTTGAGCTGAATTGTCAAATCCACTCCTACCCTCAGCGTGCCACCCCTAGGTTTGTCTGTAATGGGCCTGGCAATTCCCCCTTCCCCCTTCGAACCTAGTTTAAAGCCCTCTCAATGAGTCTTGCCAGTTTATGAGTGAGAATCCTTACCCCCCTATGAGACAGGTGAACTCCATCTCACACTTTTTCAGAAATACATAATTCTAAAAGGTGGATGTTTATTTTTTAAAGGATGTTCTGCTGCTGGGTGCTGTTGGGGCCTATGACTGGAGTGGAACAGTAGTTCAGGAGTCTTCAGACAGGGTGACCACCTTTCCAAGCCATGTGTTTGAGAAAATTCTACAGGACAGAAATCATAGTTCCTATCTAGGTAAGGGGCTGAAATACAAATCTGTAAATCCAACTTTTATTAAGATATTTAAAAACTTGTGAAAATCTGCTCTAGCCAGACTCCTGTTACAAATTGATTTGAGAATATGAAAAGAATTTTGCATCCAAAAAGATTTTATTTACTGGGCAACAGTTCATTGAATGAAATCTTTATTGTGTTTCTAAAATTGTCCTCGTATCAATGTGGTAAGCTGAAAAAAATCAGGCTTCGTCATAGAGACATAAGCAATCATGGGATTTGAAAAAGCTGTTTAGTGTATCATACTGATCATTATGGGTACCTTCTGTTTTAATATTTGTATGTACTTTCCCAGTTACATGACGATAAGCAGTTGATTGACTTGCTATCCTTTCATCTGTGCTTGCTCTTTTCTTGGCCTTTTCCAGTTCAGTTTATAGTTTTAAGAACATTGCTGCAGTTTAATAGAGGTCTTATTTATAACCCCCATATATTTTCTGACACATGTTTTTGTGACCTTATAAAGCCACACAGTTTGTCTTCTCAGTTCACTGAAATGTTTTCTGCAAACCTACAACATGCCTGTTCTGACAGCTCATCCTTGAATAATGCTACTGCATTAAGCACCTATGACTTTCTTATCCTTGAAGTTATTTAATGAGATACTATTTTTGCAGCTACTGTGCTCTTTTCCCTATGGCTTAGCATTACTTGCACCCAACCCAATGAATAAATCTAAAACTAACCTAATGACCAGTAGCTCTTTTGCATATGTGATCTCTTCAGACTTTCTATTCTTCCCTTTTCTACAGTAATTCTTAAAAGGTCATGTCATTTCATTTCAGCACCTCTCAACAAGGCACTTTCTAGAGTATTGGCCTTCGTCTTTTTGGTGCAAACAATGTTGTTGCTTTTTCTGTCGCTTCATTTCCTTTCCACCTCCTTCTGTCCCCAACTAAGAGCTCTCCGTACCACCTCTCTCTCACCAGCTCACCAGGCCAAACTGAAGGCCTGCTAGCACATCACAGCTTGCTAGATTGGCCCCTGTTCTGCACTGCACCCTCTCACTTCAAATAGCTGTATGGTGTATTAATTAGGAATGTGTGGCCTTAACTTGCAGAATAAAAACTTGTTTTGCTGTTCCTTTTTGAGCTTCTAGTCTTCAATGATGTTCTTTCAATAGAAAAACAGTGACTGAACACTATTCCGAACTAGACTGGTATATGTAATGAGTGAGGTATAATCCTTTTAGACTGTGCTCCTCACATTGTCCTGCAGCTTGCTGAAGACCTGCATATTCTGTCCAGTTGCTGGGGTTCAGTTATTCAGTTTAAACTATAGTCTTTATAAAGGATGATTTTGTTTTCTTCTGTTCAAATAAATTTGCTATAATTAAACCACAGAAATGTAAAATATGTGGTAATGCTAGTTATTTGCAGGTATTAAAAGATATCTCCTGAAAGCAAATAATGTTAGAATAATGGGAATGAAGATTAAAATGTTCAAAGAAGTTCAATCAACCTAAGCCCTTCAGCTGACAAGCTATTAATATAGCCTGTCATATTCAGCCAATACACTGGGCTGTGGTCTGGTGAGCTGTGGGAAAATGCACTGCAAGCTTTGGAGAAGCTAGGTGTTCCCTCCCAGTTTGAAGGCTGGCCCAAATATTGATCTCATGTTTCTCTTTATTTCTTCATTCCAAGAATACTCTTTGCACTCTTTTTCCTATCTCCATCACAACCATGACATTTTTGTGGTCTAAGTTTTACTAAATAGGCTAAACTATTGCCCATGCTATTCTGCAAACCTGCTTCAACTTGATCTGTGTGTCATTGTTCTCTCCAGAAGACTATTGCAAATTTTATGCATATGTGACAACTTAATTTCCTGTCTGGAAGCATCATTCTTTGTGACTAATGTACCAGATTGACTCATCCTGTGTGCCCTTATGAATAACCAACTGACAACTAGTAATTAGTGGTCTCTCACACATGTTGAATGTTGGCTTCTCTCCCCAGGTTATTCTGTTGCTGTTCTCTCAACTCAGAGCTCCATCTATTTTGTTGCTGGTGCACCAAGATCCAACTACACTGGCAGAGTAGTGGTTTATGATGTTGACAGTGATGGTGATATCGCAATTGTGCAGTCCCAGAGAGGCGAGCAGGCATGTATATTTTGGTCATGAAAGCAGATTTTGCAGGCATCCATTTATTCACACAGCACTAAATTGCAATGCATTTGTTCTGAAAATTCCTTTTTCTTTCAGTGCATTTAGAATCCACTTGAACTTTTATCTGACACTAAAACTATTTCAAGGAGGTTAAAGGTAACTCTTAAACAGTATTTTAGGAAGTCATCCAATTAGTGATAAAAGATAATATACAAAGCTACTTAATGTATCATTCTGTCAACACTTCTAATTGTGAGAGACTCAGTGAGTCTCTACCCTGCCTGAGAAGCTGTGAAGTAGATGACATCAAAGGAAAGATATGGATGTTCATTCTCTTTTTCTTCATTTGGAAAAGAGAAGTGAGTTTCGGTGGTTTTGGTTTTGTTTGTAAGACAAATCTAAGGGTCAATCAGAGATTGGGTAGTTTCATATGCATGATTTAATATAAAAAACTATTCCTACCATAGCTTATTCTCTGCATTCTTATTGCCTAGTGGTAAAGCCATAGCAGCAGCTACTGGGCAGAAACAGTGAACACATGATAAGGATATGGTTCTCCCAACACCAGAGTATACTACATAGTAATTTCATTCCAATGGGCCCTGTCATTCATTACTATTGGACTATTTCTGGGTGTAAGTTTTCTGAGTGATGTGTTAAAACATTATGCTTTACAAAATCCACATACAAACATGACTCTCTTACTACTGATTTCAGATTGGCTCCTACTTTGGCAGTGTGGTGTGTTCAGTGGACGTTAACAGGGATTCTGTGACAGATGTGCTCCTTGTGGGTGCACCAATGTTTATGAATGACCTGAAGAAAGAAGAAGGCAGGGTATACATGTTTTCCATCACAAAGGTAAGAACAACACTGTAGCAAAGCTAGAATCAGCTTCCCACCTCTCCATCCATGATAAGTGCTGATATTTTAATTTGCATCTGGAGGGATTTACTGTTGTTCCCTGGACTACAGTTTTACCCATGAAAAAGCAGTCCAAACTGCAACAGTACCTAATTAGAGGCAGTGTCTGTTCTGTTAAGTCAAAGAGTGATCAGAGGAGCAATCACAGCCAACTGGTGCAGCAGACTCACTCAAACCAGCATTGCTTGGGGCTAACTTCTTTCAAAGCTGACTGGCCACATGCATACTAAAAAGCCTTTGGCCCTGGATCTTTTCAGGGCCTCTAAGTCACTGTTTAGTGTATCTTTTTCAAAGTGTTAGAAATACTGCAAGTGTTGTTTTTGTAATGAGAAACAGAGCATGTGCTTTCCCGGGATGTGGCATAAGGGCAGGGGTAAATGGTGCCAAGCCTGCCTGGTTGGAGGACTATGAATGGAGCCCTTCCCAGTGAAATCTCACCCATTCTGCTTTTCAGGAGCATCTGCAAACTTTCCCCGGAACTGATTATGCATGTAATCTGTGAATAAGCCAGCTGGAACAGATCAAAATTGAGCCAATAATCAAGTTAGTAGCTAAGCACTGTTAGTGACCAGGGGTCTGCTCTTCTAGGTGGCTCTCTGGTTCTTTTTTTGGCACTATACACGAATATAACAGAAGGTTGGCCATTTCTCTGAAAAACTTAGCTCCAGGCTTTTCTAATTAATTGTTTGCCAGATGATTTTGGCAAATCTGTTCAACACCTAACAGCATTCCCAAACCAATTCTAATAAATGCTCTAGTGACAGTTTTCTGCATTGTTTCATAGACTTTCACACTGGATGGTTGCCATTATTCATGTTGTCTCCTTTGTTCAGTGAAGCCATGTTATTTGTCTGATGGTTGACTGTGTTTTTTATTCAGACCTGTACTAGGTGTTTTCAGAATATCTGTATTAACAGTCCTGCAGCATCTGGCACTTTTGAACAGTTCTCAATCAATCACTGGATGTCTGTATATGCAAAGTAAATTAATACCTGTCATCCATCAGAGAAAAAAGAACATGGCCTTTTTACTAGGTAAATTGCAATAAGATAAATAGTCAGATCATTCTGGAACCACAGGAGACTGTACCCTAAGGCAGTTCACGGTAGATGGAGGTGCTGGAAGTGCTACTGCTGGCAGCTGACATTGGTCTTTCTGACTCTGGAGTGAGAAAAGAAATACAGAAGAGAAGAAAAATGAAGGATTTTTTTTCATGTTTTGAAAACTGAATAAATTGAAAGACTATCCTTACAACATTTAGTCTTTGTAAAATGTTAGGTTTAATATTATTTAAAAATTAAGAACAATAAAAGAATTAATTTTATTTTTTTTTAAAGAACCTGGATTTGTGCAACTTGTCCATGTTGCGCAAATAATACTTTTCTAGTCATTTTTATAAATAACTTGGCTGGTATTTCTAAAATTTTAAGCACAGCGTGATAGCTGAGGTTAAATAGAAGAACGATATTTGCCAGAGAGTTGAATTTAACCTAGTGTAAATGTGATTAAACTATAAAGATCTCCAGTCTTTCTTTCTTCATTGGCACTGGAGAGGTCAGGAGTTTAGCATTTGGACACATGTTTTTTGCATTAGTTTAGTTAGGAAATTCCATTTCTGTTTCAAAGAATTATGTCCAGTTACATAATTTCCATTCCCTCTGCATAAAAACTAGTAATCCAAAACTGGAAACTGTATTTTTCAATGTATTGTGAAACTTTCAGAACAGTCAGATGAGGACAGTGAGAGCAGTTAAGCTTCATACAAATGGTTATATTTGCTGTTAGTGCTTTGCATAGCATGCTTTATTTTCGCTGTGTAATGCTTGCCAAGACTCTGAGACATAATGCAAAGTGAATGGGCAACACAATGGGGAAGGAATTCAGGGTTGAGCAGTCTAAAGGGAATGTACTGGAAAACAAAAACAAAGAACAGCGCACATAGATACTGCTCCTATGTCTAATCTGGTGCAATGATAGCTGGTTTTTTTTGCTTTTTCTTCTTTTTCCTTTTTTAAAGGGAATTTTGGACCAACAAGAACTCTTGGAAGGTCCGCAGGGGTCAGAAAACGCTCGCTTTGGATCAGCAATCACAACACTTGCAGACATTGATTTGGATGGCTTTAATGATGTTGTAATAGGTTCACCACTGGAAAACCAAAACTCAGGAGCAATTTACATTTACAATGGATTTCAAAAAACTATACGTACCAAATATTCTCAGGTAATTAACTTTGTTGAATAATGCTGCACTCGGTGCATTTAGATCTTCTAGAAGAAAACAGAACAATTTCCCATCTTTTAATTGGCTACTGTTTCATCCTCTTAAAGGAGTACTGTTATTCTCGTGGGCTATTTCAAGTTTTGTGCCTCTCCTGACTTCAACTGTCAGGATGCCCTAGTTGATTTCTGTGGTGCTTACAACTGAAGCATATAGAGGAGAAGGACCTGCAAGATGCTCCATCTGAGTCTCTTACAATTTTTGGTGCCTCCATATGAAGTCTGATAATTTCCTATGTATTTTTTGGCACCCATTATTCAGGGTTTTAGGGGTAATGTACAGCAGTGAAGATCAGATAAATCCCAGCTCTGTAAATTATAAATATGTAGTATTAAAGGAAAACACTTTAAAGGGTCTTTGCATATACCATATGCTAATATAATGGTAATTGTAATGTCACTTTCCATGTAGACTTTCTGGTTGCAGAAAGTATTTGTTGGAAGTCCTATTAAGCTTCCTATTCTCTGAATAGTTCGATATGAGATGGAAAAAGTCTCTAGTAAGTACTAACTGGCATACGGCAGTGAGTTAGTTGATCTACTCCCATAACAGAAAAATCTGGTCCATTGTCTGCTCCAACAGGGGAGGAAAAAGTGCTTAAAAGCACCTGAGAAAGCATCCACAAAAGCTTTTTGTTTAAACAATCCATTGCATATAAATGGAATATCAGTGAAAATCCATTGCTTAAGCTGACAACTGCAGACTTAAGCATGCTTGTGGCAAACTCAGTAACCAAACTCTCTTTCCTAGAAAATTTTAGGATCAGATTCTGCTTTTGGACGACGGCTCCAATTCTTTGGAAGATCAGTAGATGGCCATAGAGACTTAGATGATGATGGCGTTACTGACGTATCAGTTGGTGCTGATGGAAATGTTGTTCTGCTATGGTTGGTAAACTCTTTTAGAATGGAAGCACTTAATGATTCAGACACAAGTTGAGCATTTAGTTAATTAAACAGTAAAACAAACAAACTCTTTCATTCCATGTGTTCAGAGCTAACACACTTATTGCCCCCTTTGCTGCTATCACAGCTAGCTGAAAAACAGCATTAGACTAAACCTCTTTTAAGCACGTATCATCAAACCATCAAAAGCCAAGGCAGCATGGGGGGCAGAGCCAAGACACGTGGTGGCAAGGCCAGTGGTGGGGGCTTGCAGAGGGCCAAGAGACATGCCTACCCACTGCTGCTTTGTAGGCATGTGGTCCAGAGGGAAGGGGCAGCTTCAGGGAATGGGGTTTGCTTGAGAGTATTTGTAACAGCAGGTTGTACTTCAGTAGCTGCAGTATAATTTTCATAGCTGAACCTAAAACAGGTGAAAACACTTCCTACACAACCTGCGTAACCTTTACTGGCTGGTAGGCTGATCTAGGGGAGAAGGTTGTCCTGCAGGGTAAGGACAGAGAGCAGTGAAAGAGTTGGCACCTATTTCTGGCATGACACCCATCTTCTCTGGCATGTGGCCTTTGCCAGAGCAATCTGTGTACTTTCACAAAATAAAGAAGAAAGGCTTCACAGAACTCAGATCTTCTGCCTCCCTAAGTACTGGGTATTTTCCACTACTTCCTTGAGGAGCTAAACTAAAATAGAGCTTGCTTTCCTATCAGTCGCCTGTCTTCTTGCCTGAGGCTCCCCATTGTAAGAAGAAAAACATCACTGAATTGCTACTTAGTTCGTAATGAAACAAGATGATTAAAAATGAATGGTCAGTTTGGACCTCTGACCCACAATAGGACTGCTGCTGGTGCTAATGGGAATTACATTAATAAAATTATGCTCTGTGGAGTGCCAGCATTTATTTAGATTTGATTAATGAAGATGCTCATTTTTTCTTTCACTCTAGCATTTGGTCTGATTAATGAGTTTCACTTTTGATTAAAGTGTTTGTTTTTACATGCAGGGTTCCTTTGAAACAGTTCTTCAAAATCTTGATTAATTACATGAAAGTTGTTTTTCTGAAAAATATGAATATTAATTAAAATTAAGAATTACCCTTCTTCACCTTCCTAGAGGAGCTCAGTAACTTCCCTAAAGGAGCAGAAGGTTACTTATTGGGAAAACAGGACAATGGCTTTGTTCTCTGTTATATTAAGGGAAGGATTAGAGCATTAGGATACAGACATTGATTATCCATTAATTTGACATTAGAAATGATTTATTGTAATTACTGAAAGCAACTGTATCAACAAATGCACTTATATGCAAAGAAAAATAACTTTACCAGGGCCATTAAAAAATGTTTACAATGCAAACCAAGAAAATCAATGCTACATGTACAGACAGTAATAGACAACAGCTTCTGTGTTACCTGGTGTTCTTGAAAACCACGTGTAACCTTTTAAAAATATTTTTCAGGTCACGAGGCATTGCAAATGTGTCCATAATTGCGTCATTTAAACCTGAGAAAATCAGTCTACTGAACAAGAACACAGAAATAACTGTCAAAATATGTTTTCAGGCTACATTTAGACCTACTAAGAGAAATAATCAAGTGGGTAAGAGTATTTCAATGACTTGTCTTACATTAATTTCTTCAGAAGTCCATTATTCAAATTAGAAGTGGAAATTCTAAAGATCTATTAGATTGAATGTCAACAAAAGCAAAATCAGCATAATACTTAAGTGTCTGAGAAGGTGATTTTAAGACTTACTTTCATCACTGGCTCCATAATCTTTGAAAAGTGAGAAATTAACAGTGTAAAGGAAAGCTGTATCCTTGCTGTTCAACAAATCTCAGAAAATGTCATCAGTGAGAAGCTGATTTTGTTTAATGTCTGGTTTCAACAGCAGACTGTGAACTTCTCTTTTCAGAAGAAAATGAACAAAAATATTCCATAGGCTCAGTACAGATGTCAGTGGGGAGGAGCTCTTCTTTTCAGAGGACAGGAGAACACCAAATATTTCTCAGACCAGCACTGGCCTCTCATTAAGCTATTCAGTTAAATGTACACATCATGGATAACACCAGTTGGACTACTCCAGGGCTATGTATAGTGCCTTTAGGAACTCATGACTGTGAGCTATAAAATAATGGTGAACTTCCACAGCGTATTAGTCATAATGCAAAGAGAAGACAACAGAAATTATTGTGTGATTGAAGAGAAGATGCAGATTCTGTATAGACTCCTCAGAGTTAAGGGATATGATTGCAAGGCCCCTTTATCTAGCGTAAGCCTGGCCCTGCTGACTGGCTTCCTGCCTGAGCTGCAGGCTCAGACATCTGCAGTGGAAACTGGATTGATTGCCATTTAATGTGCTCCCTATGGATGAGAATTTACGTCAGGAATTAAACCTGTTTCACTGCTTTGGAAAACACAAGAGAAAATTTTATTGTTTTGAGACTGCTCTGTGTTTAGCAAGCTATGAAAAAAGTAAAATATTTAGTGTGTTTTGGAAAGCCTGGTCACACTGTAATGCTGAGCATAGTAATGAGATCATGGGCAGTCATACTCAGCAAAAAAATGTACTGTTATTCTTCTTGTAGCTATAACATACAATGCAACATTGGATGCAGATCTCCAGTCCTCTAGAGTGACTTCTAGAGGATTGTTCAAAGAAAACAATGAAAGGTACATGCAGAGGGATCTTGTGGTACGTCATGAGGAGAATTGTGTTCATGACATCTTCAGTGTACAGGTAAGTGCAATTGCAAGCAATCTTACAGAACAAAAATGATCAGAAGAAAACACTGATGAATTTTACGTCTGTAAGATTAATTTCTTGCATAGTGTACTCAAGGATTTATGTTTCTCAAATGTCCCACAACTGAAAAATACTTAGTAAGATCCTGATTTCAAAGAAACTTATAACTGTCAACTTCAGCACAGCTTTTTAGGACAGAAGAGGCAGTTCTTAATTAGGTGATTCAGCTCTGACATAACACAGAGCCCACAGTCCAAAGTTTTAATAGATTCTAATTTCCCTCTGAGTACGTTCTTCTGTAAGAGCTAAGACATACATGAAAATGTTTTCTGTCAAACTAACATTTCAGGCAGACTTTTGGTGCATGCTAGCCCTAGGTATACACCTAGGGAAAAAAAAAAAAAAGAAATAATCTATCTCTAGAACCAAAGACCAAAACCAGCCCTTAGAGTTGCCTTAAGCCCCCTGCATGATGCTAAGTCAGATAGAGGACTTTGATTCCTGCTCTGCATTCACTGCAGACATCTTTGACTTGTTGGTCTTGTTGATCGCATTTAATGCCATTGTGGAGCCATGAGAAGCCATGAGCCATAGAGCTACGAGAGTATTCATCCAGTACTAAGAAACAGACGAGACATGAGGTATAGTGTGCTTTAGTGTTGTCACTCAGGCCTGGCTTCTCTCTGTGATGGTAAGGCAAAGTAGAGTAGGAATTTGACTTCTGCAGCCAAGTGAGAATGGAAGTCACCTGATGGTGGCTTTTGAGGACCAGCTTCTGCAGCTGCTGAGAATCTGCATGTATGTTCCTTAGCCCTAGAAATTACTGTGATGAATAAGTCTCCGGGAATCCTAGGAAGATTAGTTTTATCATTGAAATGGTACTGAAAGCTGTTTAGCAAGAGAAGCCCACAGTAGGCAATCTCACAGAATTATTTTGGTCAAGAAATGAAGCTTTGCACTGTTACTTCTTGTTTAGAGCAAGTATGATTTTACTATGTATTCTCACTTTACAAAAGAATCACCAATTTTACCCTGTTTGCTGTGCTGACATCTGACAGCTATCATCTGAACCATATGTTTTACAGGAACCTTCTGATGCAGTGAATTCCCTTAGTTTGCGCATTGACATTGGCCTTGCAAATGTCAATGCACAAACTGGCACCGGCCCCGTCCTTGATATATGTTCTCCTGCATCTGTGGCCTATAGCGTAAGTATGTAGACTGACTATCGAAAAATGCATGGCTATACACGCAACCATAATGTGTGGCCCCCACAAACACCAAAGAGGTACACGCAAGTGAAAACTGGTCTAGTTAAGTCACTGGGCTCAAAGGAGACACCTGGGTGGGTGTTCCCTGGTTCCTTTTATACCTTTGTCTGTATTGCATGGTCTTGCTCACACAGACACACATATCAGCCACTGTGGCATAACAGGCATGTTGGTTGAGCCATGTCACTACTGATGTGAACTTCTAGTTGATGGCAAAGATGAACTATTTTAGGTTATTTTAGCCTACAGTAAAAGAGTACATAAAAGAGAGATGGAACCCCTTTGGTTACATCACATTTGTTGTGGGCTAACAATAACCTGCCTACACCATTCGTATGGATCAGTTGACATGTAGTAATATGTTACTGTTAACTTCTTCATGTGTCAAGAGTTTTTAGTGCCCTTAAGAGGGATTTTCTTATCTGCAAATCAACAGTGTGCTTCATCTCAAAGGTGTTTACACTCTACTGTCTGTCAGTAATTTTAAAGTTGGTCACTGTCATTCAGGAAATGTTTTTGGTTTTTCTTAGATTCCTTTTATTAAAGACTGTGGTGAAGATGAACTTTGTTTCTGTGATCTTGTTCTGAATGTTCAGCAGAAGGCAGATGATGGGTAAGAGCTGAATCAGTGCAGGTTTTGGGGGTGGGTTTTAAGTTTTCACCAGTTGTTTGGTCTGTAGGTTTTGGATTAATTTCCAGATGAGAATGCCTTCGTAGTTCAACATCTGCTTAGAAATAGCAGGGATAAAAAAAAGAAATAGGATTTCTGTCTAAGTAACTAATCAAGGAAAAAAATGTCTGATAGGAACACAGATATAGGACTCTTGTCAGCTTAGACAAACCCAAATTTTGGTACCTTAAGGACTGAGGACACAGTGAGCATTCAGAAGAATTGTGTCTGGCTGGCTGGTGTTGGGAAAGGGTGCACACAGGAGAGCAGCAGTGTCTGCAAAAGCCCTCTCAGTGCCTCCCGCAGGGGGCAGTGATCCTGCAGCAGGCTGTGCTGCCGGGGAGCTGAGGTCAGCCATTCAGGCAGCACACAGTCCAAGTCCGTAGGCATAGGCATATGCATAGATGTACAGCACACAGAGAGACAGGGCTGCCTCTTCCTGGAGCCGCCATCCAAGTCCACCACCCGCTCTCTGCCCACCTTCCAACCAGAGCAGAGCCCTTGAAAGTGAGCAAAGTCACTTTGACCATCATAATCAAGGTCCTGCACTTCAAGAAGACACTAATTCCATTTGGTTTTAAGAAACACCATCACAGAGTTTATTATGTCAAAGGATTTAGAAAGCAGAGAGTTTAAGTGTGTAGAAAGTAGGAAATGTCTTGCTGTGCTTGTTATTTGTTGTTGGCTACAGGCAACACATTTTCATGATCCACAGCTGTTCTAGTACCTCTGTTTACAACAATGAACTTTATTTTCCAGCAGCAAACAGCAGTTTGTTGTCAGCAGCAAAAACAGAAGACTAACATTCAATGTGAAATTGAGAAATAAAAAGGAAAATGCATATAACACAAGAATCCAGGCCACATTTTCAGACAACTTGTTTTTCGCTTCATTGACTTTACTGGTACGTGATACCCAACTTCACTGTTTCTGTTGTTGACACTGATTTTTGAGCTTCTCAGAAATTTTTTTTTTTCTTTCTAGTAGTACCTATCCCAGGAAAGAATGTGTGTGCAAACCTCTCTCCCAATTTATTTTCTTGGATACCAAAATTATTCCCTTTAGCATATCAGTTTATTTAGGTCAAGGAGAGACACTGCCAACTCAGCATAAAAGTTGGCAACCTGTTGAGTTTGACTTCACCTCAGTATTTCAGTCATCTTTTCCTCACTTTAGGCCTTGGCACCCACATCTTCTGCTCGACTCCCAACAACATGCCTGAATGCAGTTGCTGTGCCACAGGGAATTTGTATTTGATAAATTTAACATGCAGCATCAATGATGTGGCCTTAAAAGCACAGACTTTGGATCTTGAAATAGTGTTACTGCCAAGGCCAGGTGTTCCAGCTAGACGGTGAATTAGAAGGAAATGTCTGCTATAGCAGAAGCTCTTCTTCTAATGAATTTTGTCTTAGAAAGGAAAAAGAAACATATTACACATACTATTTTGAGAAATGCAGTAAATCTGTAATCTCAACTGTTCCTCTCAATTAATGAAGGGTGAAATCTAGACTTCAGTGCTTGGCTTATGTGGTCAAGCTGCTGCTGGAGAAGAGTGTGATAATCCTAGGGGTGAAATCCAGAGCAATCCCTATACTGAAGAGAGAGGAGGGCTAGGAGCATTTCTCACTGCCCAAGAGCGACATTTACCTGAACAATGAACTGGTAGAAATAGCCCACACAGCGATGAGGGTGCCCCTCTAACTTCCCATCCTGTTGTGCAGCAAAACTGTTCATTCCACTTATGCCAAAAGACCACACTGGAGCTAGGATTTTCTTTTACTTTAAAAGCCCATTTGCTTATAAATATTTCAGCTGGCAAGTTAAGCTTTTGACCAAAAATGTGCCTACTTCAAAGCAGGAAGAAAAGCTTAAGCTGAAAATATATGGGTGTTGTGCTTTTGGGGTGTTTTTTGGTGTTTTTTTTGGGGGGTTGGGGTTTTTTTTTCTTTTAGTTTGGTTTGGTTTGATTTTTTTTTATAGTGTAATTCATGAATGGTAAATGTCTGGTAGGAATGCTTTTTAAAAGGCAGTATACTTTTAACTAATTCTTTTTAAACTGATGATAACTGGCTATGGTCTAAGAGTTTGTCTTTGATGTAGGATGATGACATGCTAAATATTCTGCAAAGTAATAAATAAAATCTTATGTCTTGTAGATTTTCCTCCAAAAAGCAGGATAGAGCTCCCTGCACACCAGCTTCTACAGTGAGAGTACTTAACTAGCTCTCAGGTCATGTAAATATGGCTGCAAAAGTTCAGTAAAAATGCTGTAAAAAAGCACTGTAGGAGTTAATGCTGGAAGTGATCTCTATTCTCTAGCATATATTTCTTTTTCCAAACCCAGCACAAAATTCTAACAAGATCATTACAGCTCACAATATACCGCATGGGACTGGTCATTGTCCCGCCTTTCTCCTGCCTCTCTCCTAGCCCTGCCTGTGCCTCACCCATCTGTTGCATCTCTAGGAATTACTGCCATAACACGTGTCTGTACTACTCCTTAGCGTAATACAGGTCCTGTTGAAGACACAGACTGGGATCTTCCTCTCTGCTTTATCAAAATCCGATATTAAGATGACTTTTCTGTCTGTTTCGTCTGCAGAGCGATGGGACTGAAGTTTCGTGTCAGACAGGAACAGCACAAAGCACAGTCACTTGCCAAATAAGCTATCCTGTTTTCAGAAGAGCACAACAGGTACAACTGGCATGTTTAAATAACCTTGAATGATACCAAAAAGCTTTTTTTGTTGTTCTTTTCCCCTAAATGTGCATTTACTGCTGGTGAAGATTTCTTAGATTTGGCAACAGTTAACTTCCCTTTGGGTTTCAGAGGCATTGAACAAAGCAAACTAAGGGCTAAACTTTGCAACCCTCTGCCAGATTAAAGGGAAAAAGGCTCTTGAAACACAATTGTCCCTACCCACAGCTTTCAAATGATTCTGTGGCTTTCTGATTCTCAGAGGGTAAGGGCTGGGGGCAGAAGCAGAGAGCATCATGCGAAGCCTTCTGGGAACTGAGCACAATTCCCATCTAACCCCTCTGGCTGCGTGAACCTGGAGTAGCTCCCTCTCCTGCTCTGTGAATCTCATCTCTCCAAGAAAGCAGCATTGCTTTGAGAGGGGAGGGGTGGCCCACACAGCCCTAGGATAGATCATATAGCCTTTTCCTCATATATACCATAAATCTTGGGATATCCATGGTTTTTATGGAACTTAATCTCTTATTCCTCAAGTGCAGAACAGAAGTAGGCTTCCAGCATTTAACACAATCAGCTGAAGCAATAATAAGCTTGCTAGAAAGAACAGAAACGTGACGTTCTGGGGCCGGGGGG